CACCCCCCCGGCCCCTGCCACAGCCTGCAGCGGGGGCACAAGCGGTGAGGGGTTAGCCAAGGGGCTCAGGCCTCCAGCAGCTTTTGGAAACTTGGTTTAGGCATGTGGCTCGTCCCGGAGAGTGGGGAGATAGGAGCTGAGCCCTGCCATTCAAGCAGCGTTAGCACACTGGGGCAGAGGAAAGGTTCTTGCTGTTCTCATGATAGAAATGGTTGCTAAATCTTGGGCAGTGTGTTTAAGACATCCACCCCCCCAGCCAGCTCTGCTTTGAGCCGTCTTGCAGCCAGATCCCTTTTCCTTCAGCATCCTCATTCCTGATCCATGCTCTGCTGACAGCCTGGGCCTGGTGAAGGCGTCATGGACCAGGAGGAAAGCGCAGTCCAGTGCTGTGGCTGTCACAAGGACCTACTCAAAGAAGCCTTGCTGCATGGCTCCTTTTTGGTTTCAGCCTATAATCTAGCCTGGGGGTGCTCCCCCACTTCCCCCAAAGCTTAGTGACTTATGTTTTTTAGGGCTTGGGAGAAAAGGGATTTGCAAGGGGTGTATAAAGAGGTGATTTTTTTTTGCATTGTGCCCATATTGACGGAGACATTTAAGAGCCCCTGATCTCACTTGAACATCCATCAGCAGTCCCTGCTCCACTACTCTGCTACTTTCCATGTTGCATACCTGTTTCAGCGTCTGGTCCCAGGGGTCATCACAGCATCCTCGGTAAAGCTTTAGCTCTTCCTCATCAGCTTCTGTCACCGTGCTGACGGGTACCACCCCAGCGGGGAAGTTCAAGACATTGTACAGCATCGTGGAGGAGATGGCAGCTGAGAGAAGCAGAAGAGAGAATGCAGGTAGTCACAGCCTCCTGTCTTCCTTCAAACTTACACATTACGTGTTCACTGAAGCCCCTGAGAACCAGCTGCTGCTGGGAGGAGGGATTGCACAGGGCTGGTCTTCTGCAGGTCCAAGTTCTACCGCAAGAAACAACTGCCATCAGATCACTTCATCCATGTGTCTGTCTCCATCTGCTCAGATAGCTTTATGGTAGTTATTTTTCCTTCCTAATGCCTGTAAAATTCTTACGTAGGTGGCAAAGCTCCACAATAGTGGATGTTTCTGTCCAGTCTCAACCACTGTGGTCCTCTGCACTCCTGGGAAGGTTCCCAGACTCACTTACTGAGGAGTTTCCCGGGGTATCCCGTGGTGAAGGCAGGCCCCAGGACAGGGCACAGCACAACATCCAGCTGGAGTTCCCTCCACCGGGCAATGAACTCAGTGTGGTACGCCTTGGAGAGGAGAGAGGAGATGACATGGAGGCCACGTCCACGCCTGGAGCATGTCTGCTTCTTCAGGGTATGCACCAGGCTCTGGCATGGCCAAGGAGGCAGCAGCAGGCAGCTGTGCTCGAAGGAAGAGGCCGGGGAGCGTGTAAGTGTCTGCCTCCACAGCACATGGCCAGACTGTGGCCAGGAATTGGAAAGGTCCCTCTTTAGCTGTCCCCACTCCCAGGACAGCCTTCATTGTGGCTGAACTGTCGAACGTGGGCATTTGGGCATGAGCACTGTGGGCAACTGATAAAGTCCTGGCTGGGTTGACCCAAAAGTCTGTCTGTCCCATTCTTCTCTCTCTTTTGTGCCTTTCCCTCCATCTTGTCGCCTCCCCAGCACCCCCTGCACAACCCTTTCCTAACTCATGACCCTCTGACCTGGGACTTGCCATAAAGCCTCAACTTATAGTGTGATGCCAGAGAAAAAAGTCCTCAAAGCATACCTCTATCTGATGGTGATGATTCCACATCTCCTTCACTGACCTGCAAGTGGAAATCGTAGCAACGTTTTTAAGCTTTATCAAGGAACACTTTTAAGAGGAGGAATTGCTTAAATAATCTTCCACGTTGATAAGCCCCAGCAATTTTAGCAATTATTTAAAACAATACTTCTTTCACAATTTGTCTAAAGTTTATTTTGGCATTTGGCCAAGCAATTAAGCAACAAATGCCTGGAAGCGGTAGAGAGGTTTTTCCTGTGAGCCTGGATTTAGTACTCATCTTCTCCACAGGCTTCCTGTATGACCTTATGCATGCAAGTCCCTCAGTCCTTTCAGGGTAACACTAGGGGCAGTGCAACACTGGGGAGATGTGTTCCTAAAGGCTGAAGCCATGTCCAGGATGGAGGGACAGACCCTGCAGAAAGCAGGTCAGAGCCTATCGTGAATCCAGTCCCCCCCACCAAGGACACTTAGAGGAGAAGGTACCATTCATTTTCATGGACATCCCTGGGGGTGATGCCATCTTACCTCATTCCACCCAAGGCACCCAGGTAGTCAGCCAGGCGGGGAAACTGGAAAGGCAAGAGGTTGCTGTTAGGGACATGACATGGGGGTGCAATAACTTATGCCGTCCTGGGAAACCCCTAGTCCTGTCCTGCCTCCGTCCCTGGGGATGCTGCACTGAGGGTGAACAATGATGATTAAAAATGCTCCTCATCGTTCTGATTTTACTTTGCTTCCAACTTATGGTTGTTGGTTCCCAATTTATTTCTTACAGCCCAGTATTTCCTGCTCACAGAGGAATGCACTGACTTGAAACAAGTTGCCTTTCATTATTTTTGATAAATTAAATTTTTTTAGCTTGGTATCTCACAGAAACGAGACCTCTGCAAACACTTTGATTGCCTCCCACTCGCTGCTACCTTTTTGATCCTGTCAGCTGAGAACAACCCAACTGGACAGAAAGGCAGAGAAAACGGAGGATGGAGGAGAGAAGCCCTACAAATGATGCTCACCTGGTGAAAAAGCTACAGTGAGGACCATCCCTTATTAATCACCAGGAGTCCCCATGAAGATGTGATCTTTGGGAGGCCTCCAACGCAGGGACAGAGCTTCAAATTCGAGTCCCCCTGGTGCAGTAATCTCAATGCATGAATCTGTAGGAAACTGGGCACTACTAGGTCTAGCATATGAAGAACCACTTGCTGTGGGCTCTGCATTAATCTTTTACAGCTTTTGGCTGGTCCTTCTCTCATTTCCCTTTGCACTGGATAAATCCCAGCAGGGGTCTAGAAAAGACCTTCCAAAGTGATAGCGTGTGCCTTGGCCTGAAATCCCAGTGTTTCTAGTTAAATGTGTCTCTCAGTACCATCACGCTTTCAAGCATCTCAAGGCCTTGCTGACACCACTCTGCTTTGAGCCTGAGGCCAGGGACTCACCAGAGGTTTAAGAATCAGAGCCAGCAGCTTCTTCCCCAGCCTTGGGATCTTGCAGCAATTCACCTGTGATTTCAAGTTTGGATCTACAATACCTCCTGTGCTGAGAGATGACAAGAGGAGGGGATCACGCCAGAGAAGCTGTTTGACCTTTCTCAGAAACCTGAGTATTGCCTGTTTGGGGTGGGAGACATGGGCTCATTTTGCCTGTGTGTTGTGCTCATGGGCGAGGGGATGGAGGTGTTTTACAGCACTGCTGCCAGAGGGCTCCTACTTACAACACGTTCAACCAAGCACGGCCTCCATCAGCAAAAAATGTCTTCAAAAATAGTTCATTCATAACATAGTGGATCCGAGGTGGAGAAAAGGGCACCAGCTGCACCAAAACACAAGATTATGTGGCAACCTGGGGATGTGAATAATTTCCAAGGCCCGACTGTGGATACACTTCAAAGGCAGAGCAGCACCTCCCTGGGCTCCACACGCCAACAGAAGCCCCAGTTCAACCCTTTACCAGCCTAGGCATCTCCCCGTGGGATTATTCCTCCCTGACGGCCATTTGGCTCAGCTCTGAGATCTCTCTAGTGCTGTTTCCTCCTCCATCCTGCTCCAGGCAGTCACTGAGCCAGAAACTGCACCAGTTTCCCGCCTGTTCCAGCAGAATCAACACCTGCTCGGATGTGGACACACTTTGCTATGAAGAGCACCACTAGCATGTTTCCACAGGGAGAGAAAGGTGTTTCCCATCCCATGTCCCACGGTCCTTTTCCCTCAGTGGTCCAGGAAGGACAGAATTCTCCATGGACATTGGGGAGGAAGGAGAAAAACACCTCTCAGAGCCCTGCTGGGGAACAACAGACCTAGAAAATGCCGTGGCAACCTTCGAGAGTCGAACACAGCACTTTATGGATGCTGCTGTCTGGTGTGGACCACAGCCACCAGATCAGAGATGGATTCGTTACACCCCTGGCCCCTTGAAGGTACAAGCTTGCTAATTGCTAGAGCTGTTTCCCCATGAGATGCACTGCTACCCCGGATAGGCGTGCGTCTGCATTCTGTTACATGGCTGTAGTCTCTTAATCCCGCACCTCTGGTAGGTCATTTATCCCACAACTGGGCTTGGGGTGTTGGTCTCTGAAGGGTGATTTCAGCAGTGAGGAGCAAAGCTGGGGATACCTTGGGGAGAAGAGCGTGGGGTGGTTGTGCTCACCTGGTGCCCGGCTGCCTGCAGAGCCTCCTTGGTTTCCCGCACCGCCCGCCGCATGCAAGGGGGCAGCGGCATGTAGCCATCTGTGTCGTAGTACCCAACCCGCAGGGGAGCAGAGCTGGAGTACACCTGCAGCAAAGAGCCATCAATTAAGCATTTCCAACCCTCCTGGGGGTAGGACTGCCCCCATGCTGAAGCCCACTGCAGAAGGGGATAAAAGCTCCAGACGTTAGAGGGTAACTAATTTTCTGGTTTGCTGCTTATAGTTTCCATAGGTAACCCTTTCCAAATGTCCACCCCTGCCTTTTTCTCCAGCCTCTCCTTCATCCCTCCCTTCAGACAGAGCACAGCCACTCAAGACCAATAGATTCAACCATTGCTACAAAGGACGGAGGTGGAAAAACCTCCTGAAATTCATCTGCTGCAGAGGGAAAGGAAATGTCCTCAGTCAAGAGATTTGCTGCAGGAGTTTCCAATCTTGTCTCATCTTCCCCTAAAAATCTCCAGCTTTTTGCCCCTGGTGTTGCCTTCTTCCCCACTCTTTTCTAGTGTCTCTCAATCTGCTAAAACACACACCAACTGAGAAGGCAGAAAGACAACTGCTTATTAACCTGTTTTTTTCTAATAATTATGAATTGTGCTCTCAAAGAGAGCTAACAAGTTACTGAAAAGCAGTACTGCAAAGACAACTGGATCCTTAAAGAACGCATACACTGAGCGTGCAGCACCCTCAAAAGAAGTGGGGCTTGCTGACTTAAGGACTCACCTCCTCATCGAAGGGGATGGGGGGCACGGTGGGGTCCAGCTGGAACATCTCCTCGCAGAGCAGTGCCTTCATGCACAGGGCCAGGCTGTCCACGTCCCTCGCCATCGGCCCCAGCGCGCAAGGAACTGGAGTGGGATGAAAGCAAACGTCCACATTAAGCAAACGGGTGCACCAAACACTGGTCCACCTCTCTGCACAGCCACGTTGGCTGCAAGGGATGATCAGGCAATGAGGTGGGATGTTTCAGAAGGACCCTGGACAGATCTTGGTTGTCTCGGGCTTTCCTCAGGCCTACAAGAGGACATAGGACTCTTCACAGCATATAGAGAAAAGCAATTAAAAATTCACGTACCTGCAAGGATCCCACTGACTGGGCCACTCACTCCGGACAGGCTGTGGGAAAAGAAAAAGAAGTATATTTTCATTTCAGTAATGGTGAGATATTCCCAAGATGTTTGAACAACATGGTGGCGTCTTCAGATCAAGACCCAAACCAGAAGGAAATTATTAAAAGTATTTTATTTGAGTCAAGTGAAACAGAAAATTTTGATCAAAATGAAGGAAAAAACTCAACTAAACCCCAACAAATCTTAGTTTTGGTTTAACCAAAGATGTTCCATTCTGGCATTATTTAACCATTTTAGCCCCCTTTTCCTTTTAACTCCAGGCCAGATTTACAACGGAAACTTGGTCATTTCCTCACAAAACCTAAAAACACTGCCTCTTGGGAGAGGTTTTGAGCAAAGCAAGCCAGCCTTTAAGAAACTGTCCTCTCTTTCCCCCTGCCAAGTACTCACGGAGTACCTTGCCCCTTCTGCTGAGTTTGAGAATTAGCAGGCTCCTTGCAGGGTGGGAAAGGCAGAGCCCAGAACCTACCTGAGCCTTTTGGCTGTGGGTTTGAGCCCACACAGCCCGCAGAAGCTGGACGGCAGGCGGATGCTGCCACCGATGTCTGAGCCAATGCCCAGGATGGAGCCTCCCCCTGCAATCAGGGCTCCCTCCCCTCCTGAGGAGCCCCCGGGGCTCTTCTGGTGGTTGAAGGGGTTCAAGGTCTGGCCGAAGATGGGATTGCTGCAGTCGTAGCTGGAGAGAAAAAAAACAGCAAGCGGGCTGTCAGGAACAGCCTAATGCCTTGAGTTTGTTGGCTCTTCCTTGCAGTGAGTTTATGTGGCATAGCTAACCCCATCCTTCCATCCCATAAATCCCTTGGGACACAGCTCATTCCCATGAGCCTCCTCTCTCCCTCCCATGCACAAGTGCACTTGATTTCTCTTATGTCATGGTAGGTTTTTTTTCCTCTTAATCTTATCTGAAAGCTATTTTCAGTTGAACTGAGATTGTTGGGAGCTGATGGAAGAGGGACTTGTCCCAGCACCATCTCAGGAGACAGGAAGGAGCCTGTCCTGGGACCTACAGGCTGGGGTTTAGCTTCAGGAGCACAACCAGAGGAAAGATTTCTAATGATGTATGTTACTTGAAGAGGGATTGCGACACGTTGGTCATTGCAAATGGGATGGCCCCCTGTCTCTTCAAAACCTTGACTAGGACGCTGTCCTCCTGCACTGGAGTGCCCAGGCATTGCACAAGCCCACAGGTCGACAGATGCCCCTGCAGAGAGGAGAAGTGACAACGGACACGGTCAGCACAGTTCCCCTGCAGTTTTGGAAGGATGATCTGGTGTCCCCTTTGGGGGGGGGGCGGTACTAATCCACTCCCTTGCAAGCCCTTGCATGAAGGGCCAAGGACTCCCTCTCCTTCCATCCTTGGCAGAGGGGTGCCAAGCACTTAAAGGGTTAAGGCTTCTCCTGTAGCCATCCTTGCTCTTTTCCATGCTATATCTCTCCCCTGACCCAGATGCAACTCTGTAGGTATGCTAGCTCAGGATCAAACTCAGTGTCCTGCTGTCCAAGTGAAGCCACCAGTGGATGTTCAGGGAGGGAATATACATCCCAGGCAAACACAACATGATCCTTTTTTAGTTAGCCTTGGTGTTTGGGGCTTGCTTTGGGCTTAGAGCCCTCTTAACTGTGTTGCTAAGTCAACATGGAGGAGACTGCCTAACAAATTCAGCTCAGGAGTGTGTGGTCAGTCCTCATCAGGACATGTCTGTGAGGAGGTCCCTGGTGTGTCTCATGCACAGGCTCTTTGCTAAGGGGCTCAGTGGCCAGGCTACAGCACAACAGGGATTCGAGGTTAATGGTTCCTGCTACTAATGACTTTCTAGAAGTTGAGCCATGTTCTTATCCCTGGTACTGCAAACCTCTGAGCAGAAGTCTGAGTTATGGCCCAAATGACCATGTAGCCCAGCCTGTGCTGTCTCACATATCAGAGAAGAAATCATTTGGGTGTATAGCTATTCACCCCTTGGGTTTTTTTGCTGATGGAGACTTCTAACTGTCAGGGTTGCAGCTGCAATGAGATGTGGGGCCTCAGCCTCAGACCCAGCCAGGCTTCCTGTGGTGTAAGCAGGGAGGGATCAGGCCCCTTCCCCATTCTCTGTGTCCCATCACTTCACCACCCAGCCCAGCTCACGATGGAACAGTTCACAGGCATGAAGGGAAGCACCTTGTGGCCGATGTGATCCTTGATGCTGACAGGGATGCCATAGAGCAGCCCTTTCTCCTCCTGCTGTTGTATTTCCTGGAGCTGCTCCTCACACTCTGGGATAAAATGTCGCAAGCAGTTTGTCTGCTGGGTCACTTCCAGGGCCTTTGCCGGACACATGGAGGAAGAGGTGTTAGTTAAGAACAGCATCATTACACAGCTGCATTCAGTAGCTACCTAGATCTTCAAAACAAGGGCTAGTGGCTTAGCATGAATGTTAACCCCCCGTCCCCAGAGCATCCCAGCTCAAGCCATCTCAAAGGACTGTCCAGTGACGGGTCTGACCCAGGAGACACAGAGATTCCTGCCTTTTCATATCTTTCTCCTGATATCTGCTATATTAAAGACTTGTCATAATCACCAGCTTCAACAAGTCTTCTCAGCCACCAGCCCACACACCATGGCATGGAGAATATAAGTGATTTGCCCATCACACTGTGGACAGGCACTCACCTTCTCTATGTAGGTGTAGAGGACAGTCTTGGGGGACAGAGACCCTTCCTGCAGTTTCCCACTGAGTTCCAGCAGGGGCAGGGACAGGATGGAATCCGTCTGGACACTGGGGACCTGCAAGGGGAAGAGGAAGGGGATGCCAGGACAGCAGCTCCGGTTACCGTTTGGCTCAGAGGGTATAAGTCTCTTAAGTTTTGCCAGCATTATCAATAGAGTTTGCTGGAAAGGCAGATCCTGCATGTGGGGGTTCAGACCTTGAGCTGCTGAGCGTTTCATCCTGAGTTTGGATGTCATGAACGTGAGGCAAACACAGGAGCCCAGCTGTCTCTGAAGCTGTAGAAGAGCTTCAGGCATCCACTGCAGCAGAGGACAAGGCAATGCCTCACATCAGCGCCTTCCTCCTGGCACTGTGCGACTTTTACCCACTGACCAAGAGGTAATCTCAGCTGAGCAAACGCCAGCCTGGGCAGAAGGTACCAAAGTCCTTGCACACAAGTCTCAGCCTGGCCCTTCACCTCTCAGCCCGGTCTGATGACAAACATCTAATAGCTGAAGCCCAGCAAACTGCAAAGAAGTCCGTAGGGACTCACAGGTGGGTAAGGTCTACTCAGGTGAAGATGACTGGCAGTTCTCAGTGCCACCAGCTTTTTTTTAAGGTTTTATATTATATTTATAGATACATATATTTAGGAAAACAGGTTGTAAAGGTATGTATCACTTGTAGCTGGCATGCTTCATCTCCAGGTACGTTACCTGTGTAAACATGAGCTGGTTTAACCAGTACCTACTCAGAAGTGAATGGAGCAGGAAGGAAAGGTGGTTAGAAATCAGTGTTGCAGCAG